TACCAATATCTGATATGGATATACAGCCTACCTGGAAAGTACACTCCGACAGGGGATACTCGAACATGTTACGATTGAAGTCAGGACTCTGGCTGGTCATCTCCAGCAGCAGGTTGGTAGCCAGGCTTAGGAAACACCTTTCTATTTGACAGGAGTACAAGGACTGAAGCACCGTCAACATTCGGTCAAGGGTGGCAGTAGGAAGACGCTTCTCCTGACTCCAGAAGTTACGCACATACAGCCTTAAAAAGAAAGAAAAGAAAAAGTACCATGTTGTAATTCATACATGCATCATGAACAGCTTCAAAACGAATACTGATTCTAGGACTTAAAAGGCTACGATACTGAAGACGGAGAAGTTTTGTAAGAGTCTTACTGGAGGCCCTGGTTTTCCTCAGCCAGTCCCTGAAGAAGCGTTTCTTTCGCTGCGTTCAAAATCTCCACTGAAGTGCTGTCTTCCATACTCTCTGCATCACTGGAAGGACACGGAACATCAGTAGAATCATTCATTCAGTCTATCATTCATTCAGATACATTTTTGCATCACAAATTCTGGCGACCTCTGAGACATTTTTTTGTCACATGATTCCAGCTGTAATTCATTGAAAAAAATATTTTATCATATTTTGTTTTTAAATAATTTACTAGACATTTCAGGTGACTGCATTTGAATTCCATGTGACATCATGTGGGGGTTGCGACCCCTAGGTTGAAAAACACCGGCTTAGTCCTTTTTTGAGGGCTGGAGATAGGAAGACTTTCCAGGGAAAACCCCCAGACACAAGCAAAAAAAAAAAAAATCTAGCTATTGAACTTGTGACTTTGTTGATGTAAGGCAAGAGAACTAACCGCTCCACCACCGTATGGCCCTCATGTGTCATTTGTTTTAATCTACACTGCCATTCAAATCAGTCTACGGCCTGACCTATAGTTGTCCTGGATCCACATCAGGATGTCGTACATCCTCTCCCTGCACACGGGGGAAGGATGGGAGACAAAAGCGGTCACGGCTCCTGTGAGCTCCTGAAGCTGAAGCGGAGTCAGGAGGCCGAGGATCTTGTGGATTATGTCCAGACACATTCTCTGTCTGGCTTCGTCCCTGAGTGAAGAAAAGACTCATCAGTTACAGTAACAGTTACGGCCAAAAGTCCAAAAGACAAACGGGCATCGGCGTGAGTGCGGCACCTGTGGCTCATCATCTGGACGAAGCCCGACGTCTTCAGCTGCATGAATACGTCCGGTATCACCTCGGCTCGGCTCAACACACACTCCAAACAGTCGGTCTTCAAGACGCCGTGCAGCTTCGGCAGCATGAAGAACACGTGATTCATGAAGCTGTGAAAATGAACAGGATACCAAAGTCGACTATATCAAAAGCAATAATGAATTGATTTATGCTGCAGGGAAAATGAACATGAAAATGAACTCACCGATCCATAAACGGAGGGAAGTGTTTGGACACTTTATTCAAGCAAATTATGAACTTGTCATCCAGGTTTTTTTTCTGCAGGTTCGTTATCTTACTCGCAGCTAGACTGAGGAGTTGCTGACGCTCCTGTAGAAAAAGAAAAATATATTTTAAAAAAATGACGTCAAAAAACATGCGATCACCTTCGATTTCCGCTTTCGAAAGGTAAATATACAAATGACTAAAATGATTTCTGTCGCATAAAAAAAAAAACAGAGGCGAAACGAATTCAGCGAACTCATACGTTATCGGCCATGTTCTTCAGGATGAGGCCGATAATCTCGGCGGCGGCGGAGTACACGTCTTTGTACCTCACAAAGGACAAATTGTTGGTGAGACTCTGGATGTACCTAAGGGACGGTACACACAGAGAAGTACTTTTAGAGCAATCCGTGAGACGGTAGCTGAAATCACAATTAATCGTGAATAATCATTATTATTCGCGTTGCAATGGAAATTTCAGCTTGAGATCTGAAAATTCTTGATCAGATTTTTAATGTGTACATTTTGACAGCCCCCAATATTTACCGCTCGTATTCAATTCCACATGAGATGTCATATGCTGGCAGTTTATTCGCCAGAATGATTCCGAGCAGCTGAAGTCCAACCGAGTTGTCTTTGCCGTTTGGGTCGCTGCCACAAAACCGGTCAAATATGACACTGGGGAAACAGAAGGATAAAGCAAAGAATTTGGTTATTTGTGTTTCGTAAAAAAAAAAAATAAACAAAATACTCGACCAATAATATCAGCCGACCGATATTAGCACGATTATGTAATATCTATAAAAATCGTTATCAGTTTTTCCTCCTATAATGAAAACCCGATAACGCGACGTTTGGAGGTCCTACCTGTACGGCACGTGCAGACAGTCCTTCCAGCACTCCACCATGGTGCGAATGATCTCCAGGTTGTGTCGGAAAACCGCCTTCTTGGAGTGGAAGCTGTTCTTGATCAGGAACTCAAACAGGCGGTTGGCCAGAACCTCATCTCTCGGGTTCCCCTGGTGGTGACCGGACGCTACGTTACATCTCATTCGTAATTCAAGTTAAAGCTATTCACATGATGATGATGATGACTTTCGTGTCTCAAAAACCTTGGGACTGGCCAGGCTTGTCCAGGAGAGCACGGTGACCACGATGTCCACCACCATGAAGTGGATTCCCACTCCTCCGTTTTTCTCGGAGACGACGAGCTGCAGCAGCGGCCCCAGCCAGTGTTTGGAGTACTGTCGGAAGACCTGTTGCGAAGATGCAAAGATTTTAACGCGTGTCCAGGCACATTACTGTCAATTTAACTGTTACATAACAACGATTGTTCACAGAATGATAGGAGGTCACCTCCTCTGTGTTGATGACCAGTTTGGCGACGAAGAGTCGTATGTTCAGGGGCGTTGCCGGATTTGACAGTTTAACGTGAAGGAATTTCATCCACGGAGGAAGTTCACTTGGTGGGTTTCCCTGCGCCGTGAACATAAAGAGTTGGGGACGGCATCGGAATAATAATATAAAAAATAATATCTCTTGGATAGATACGTAGATGGATGGATAGATAGATAGATACATTTATAAATACTTAAAATGTGATCGTATGACCGCAACAAAGACGTCCAAACTTGCCGACTTCTTCCTGCGCCACTGACCTGTTCCGATTTCGGTGTGATGTTGTTCCTCTGCATGTGTTCGACGAGGGCGATCATGGCCGCCATGCACTCGTGTTGGTTGAGCTCATCCATCTCCAAATCCACCATCGCATCCGTGGAGGGACTTCTGTCCTCTGTCTCCTGTACGCGTGAAGACGAGGAAAACCTGGACTCATCATTGTGTCATGGCATCCATTTACCCATCATGCACCTGTGTTAGGTGTCCAGTGTTCAGGACTGGTCTATTCATAGTTTACATTTTGACGAACGGTGTCATTAACATTAACTAATCAACAGCAGTGAGGCAGGAGATCACACGACTAACTCTTTTGGCTGGGACTCGTCTTCGTCCCTCCGGGTTTTGGGAACTGAAGGAGAAGCTCTGGACGCCGGTGGAGAAATCGAACTGACTCATCTCCTCGCTCAGGCTGCTGTCGGCCATGTAAGACTGGGAGGACAAGTAAACCGGTGCTTCTGTGGAAACCACACACACCAGGTTGAGTGCACATCAGTATTCGTAATAACAGTACGGTGAATCATCAGAGGTGAACTGTAAAGACCTCCGTTGTCCTCGTTGACTTCACTTCGAATCATGATATATTTCTTTTTCCTCTCAAGAGGAACCTGTATAAAAAGAAGCAGGAATTAATGAAAGGAATGAACGACAACAGAAGCTAAAAATACTATGTTTTTTTTTTGTTCGTTTAGAGAGAAAAAAAAAAATTTGTACCTCAATTTCCACTGGGAAATTGTAACTCCTGTCAACGTCTATGAGATTTTCCAGGATGAACTGATTCTGGGCAGAAAAAAAAAAAACCAACAATCAGTGAAGTTTTTCAGCTATTGGTCTCCTTACATTGATTTGAAATCATCAACAGAAAAAACAACAAAGTACCTTCTCTGGTTTCTCGCTGAAGAGGAAACCATTGAAGAACTTGGCTTCGCTGAAACAGCAGCTGATGACGGCGATGGCGCAGTTGTACGCGGCACAGTGATACTGTCTCCTGAGTTCAAGCAGCTGAGTCTCGCCGGCCATGTTCTCAGTGAAAGCTTCAAAACACGACCTGGTTCGAAAAAAAAAACGAAAAAGTACATCATTAATCCATTAACCTGCTCCAAATCAACACAGCCTCTGCTTTGAATCCGGAGCTTCGTACTTGATCAGCGCCTTGGACAGCTCGTTCCCTTCCGTTTTGTCCGCGCGACAGTGGGCTCGGTTAATGCGGGAATCCTTGGAATAGACCTCTTCCTTCGGAAGTCGGGAGTAAAGCAGCTCCATCAGTTTGTAGCAGCAGTTCTTCTTCAGCAGCTGGACCTCAAAGGCTGTTTCACTCAACTGAAAGTGAGAAAATAAGTCTATAATTAATATGATCTTTCGCTACATATGAGCTGTTCTAACAAATATAACAGCATACAAATGTGTATTATATATGTATTATTATAGGAATTGTATTAATATTATTAAAATAAATCAATAAAATAAGTTGCAATACCGCCATCTAGTGACTTTAACTTGCATTTACAGCCGGTTATCCCTAAAACTATTTTTTTAGGGCACACATCATTTGGGGAAACCCAGGCATTGGATTATGGGTTTTCATTATTGGAGTTCAAGTGTAGTATGAGTATAGTATAAATTAATATATGAATATAAATATAAATACATATATATACATATACACATATATATTATATATTCTGACAGTTCCTTGTTATTTTACGTTACGTATCCATAATTTTAGGTATTGTGGATAAACCATTACGTTCTAAGGACTCACCTTGGTGAAGCGGCTGAGAAGCAACGCGATTATGTCCGAGACATTTGCCACAAAGAAGTCGTTCAGCGCCGCAGCGCCGCAGTGAGAGGCCAGGGGCAGCAGAACTCTGCTGGTCAAGGCCTGCAGCATGTGATTCACCGGCACGTCGCCCTGCTGGATCACACTGTAAACTGCGGAGAGCAGCTGGAGCTGTCGTTCCCTGCTCGACCTTTTCGCAAGTCGTTGGAAACAGATCTGGAACTGCTCCTCCATGATGTGCTTTCTGTCCCGACACAGGATTCCGGACAGCAGTTTCAGCACGAGAGGGGACTGGGAAAGCTCCAGAGCGTCCAACAGCTAAAGAGGTGAACATTTGTAGGTATCTCAACATGATGTTAAATGTCAACAGAATTGTCTCGTTATTTAATATTTTGTGTTTAGTTGTTTTCCACTGGCTTTAACATTTAAGGAAAAAAAAACAATACAAATGTTAAGTTCTTCCACTGAAGAACCAGTCAATTCACCTTACGAACACAGTCCATGTAGTTGTTGCGGTGCAGCGAGCCTTTGGTAAACTCATCCGACTGCATGGGGAAGTGTGACACCACCAGGACGTCCAGGGCTTTCTGCAGCTCGGCCAGCGGTTCCTCGGGAAGGGTCGTGAGGAAGGGCAGAACAAGAAGGGCCTGACTCTGAGCAAATATAACAAAAAAATAACATTAATGAGTCAAATGGAACCAGTAAAAATAAGCGATGTCGGATAAGGTTGGCCGACCGATAATATCGGCCCGATGTTAGCATAATTATGTAACATACTCTTCGCCATCTCTCTTTCACGAAAAGAGCATTATCAAAGATAAACAAGCCTCTAGTCACTAGATGGCAGCATTGCAGCTTACTTTATTGATCTATATTGACAATGAGGGGATTGGGTGCAGAATGCTGGCGCCGGCAATAAATAAAAAAATATGACCAGGCGCTCAATGGTATTTGAATTCTGTCCTCTAGGGGGAGCATGGATAATTGAGAAACACTGCTTTAACCCATCGCCTTAGTGAGCAGGCGGAACTTAACTTCCTTATCTACCAGGCGACCACTACCCCGCTATATCCGTATCGGTTGATGTCGGATTCGGAAATTAAGCGTTTGCACAATATCGGCGTACCAGATATTGGGAAAAAGTTGATATCGGGAATCCTAAAAATGACATAGGAGTCCCCGCTGTGAGTGTTACCTTGAAGTTTAGAGGCAGATTGGTGTCCATCAGCAGCACAGTAAAGGTGGTGAAGACTGGTCTGAATGCATCGTGGTTGACATCAGAGCACACAGAGGAATCGATCTGACAATTCAAAAGAAACCACGGTAACGGAATATTCTGGAAAGCTGTGTTGGTTCTTGATATAGTGGAGTGGTACCAGAGAGGCCATTCTACCTGCAGGAGCTTTGATAGCAGCAGGAGAGTAGCCGTTTTGCTGTCGGGGGTGGCGGAGGGTCCTTCCCACCACGGCTGCAGACTCTTCCACATCTTTAACACCTCCTCAACCAGCTGCTTTCCCTGGGTTTTCCTCAGAGACCTCTCTCTGAAACTGTGGTCCAGCATTCCGTTCAGTAACGCACTCACCTGATGATTCAGAACGAGTACAAAAAAAAAAGATTCTTCAGAGTCGGGGTTTGAACCCTACGTTTAAAAATGTGTCCCGTGAAGATGTAGAGCTACCATGGCTGGATTTCTGGAGGAAGCGTTCACGAGACACGGAACTGCGATTTGAAGACGTTTCAGCAGCTCGGCGTTGACGGTCGTCTGGAAGAGGCTGTAGAAGTATTCGCCGTGTGAGAAGTTCAGGACGTTCTGGCTGTTGCTTCCCGACATGGTCACCGACAGTGAGATGGTGTTTAACAGCAGGTCCACCAGCTGCTCACTCTGCCACAGACAAAAGAATCAAACACTCCTGCCTTTCCTTTTACCTAGGAATCTCCGACAGACTCTGCCGATTGATATTATCGGCCCGATATTAGCATAACTATGTAATATCAGTAAGAATCGTTATCGGTTTTTCCCTCCGATAATGAAAACCCGATAACGCAATTTCTGGATGTTGCCAAATATTCTGGAATCGCTTGTGGTGTACCGAGACGTTTCCCTCAGTTTTGGTGGCAAACGGCTGCTCGTATCGGTATCGGATGATATCGGAATCGGAAAATACGTGTTTGGGCACAATCCGTAGTACAAACCACAGCAGAGGGTGGAGTCACAAACCTGCTGACTGAGAGCAAAAGAAAGCTGCAGCAGTCCGTCCGCTACCCTCCTGGTGTTTACGTCCAAAGACGGAAGTCCCTTGCGGTCGTCGCCCGGTGCTATGCCTTTGTACACGGTCATCAGAAGTCGAGACCCGAGGGATTTGACGTAGTCCGCATCCTTTGGAAGTAAAACAAACCCAGTAAATGCTTGGCAACTTATTCATCACAAGATGGACACTAGTTTGCATGAAACCACGACACTTGCACCAAACGGAAAACTTCTAAGCCAGTGGTTCCCAAAGTGAGGGTCTGGCCCCATTTTGGGTACACAGACTGGATTGGTTTGAGTTCAATTGTTCTGCCGAGGCAGATCCAGCGACGTGTAAGGAAATATTTCAGTTTGCTGTCCTGTTCAGGCGTAGTTGAAATTAGCATGCAGACGCTCTTGTCATATTATCCAGGGAAAATATTAATAATTTTGGTAATAAACTGAAAGAACAAACAGGACTAACTTGGCCGTGCAGGATAGAGTCCAGGAATCCAGCTCGGTGTATCTGTTTACAGGACGACAGAAGCATTTCCACCTGTACGTGAGAACCCAGAGACCCCGAGCTGTACAGATCCACAGCACACAACTGCTCTACGCTGTGGAGAAACGACAGGAGAAGCTGACAAAACCATTCAGGAAAAAAAAATCAACAAAAAAGATTTTCCTCCTAACATTTGAACGCACCTTTTACGCGAGATCTTCGTCTGCAGGCTGCTTTCAAGATGCGTCCAGTGCGTCGACGACACCAGGGCCTTGAGCAGGGCAACGCACACTTCCGGGAGGTTCCTCATCACCTCAATGTCCGCCATGTTAAATCCAACAGCGGCCGGCTCACACACGGCCAAAGCAGTCAACTCGAAAAACACCGTGCAAAACACATCTGGCTCCAGAATCTGTGAATAAACGACCAAATGAGTGAGCGTGAATTTCTCCAACTTCTTATCGTTGATCAGCACAACTCCCTTTGGTACCTTCAAAAGCTCCTTGTCTCCTTTGACAAGGACCATGGTGGCGAATTCCAACAGGCGGACAGTGATAGTGCACTTGCTGTAGTTGTACTGATCCACCTCTCTGGGACTGAAGTGAGAGACTCTCTCATGGACGGGGAAACAGCTCTGTGCTGCGGCCAGGTCCTGGGTGACCAACTCGGTTAGGAAGAAATGAATAGCTTTCAGAAAACTGGACTCGTCTTTGGTGCCTTGAAGATGAAGGAAAGAAAAAGTCATCACGTTACAAAGTGTGGGTTCGGTCCGAACAACTGTCCAGAAACCCAAGGCAGTGGTTCCCTAACGTTTTCTGCAGTACGAAAACGTAAGGGCTATCGTCGACCCCCTGCCCTTTGTCGACAAATTCACAGATACGGCTCCTACACTCTATATAATATAATAATAATTATTATAATTTTTAATAACCATAATACCAAAAAAAAAAAACAGAGTGTGGAACAAATAATTTTAAAAAATTCTATATTAATCTGACCTGCACCAGGTCCGCACCCCCTACTTTGAGAACCACCGCCTTGAGGAAATCAATCTCTGGCTTACTCAGCATGTGTTGAGGCTTGATGATGTGGAGGCTAATGAAGGTGTTGTAGCAGTCCAGGGCGGCCAGGAGCAGGTCCATCCACTGCAGAGTGGCTCGGACACTGAATGGACCGGTCAGATCCCTGAGAGTGGGCTGAGCCAGGAGCCCTCCGCCCTCGAAGCGCGAGGTCAGGAAGTGTATGCCGTGATCCTTCAGCATGCTGTCCATCCACTGAGGCGGAGACGGCTTTCCTGTTTTGTTTGTCGACAAAAATAATAACAAAATATCACGATATATATATATTTTTATATATATAGCATCAGCTGTAGTGACCTTTTTTTTTATTTTTTTTTATTAATAAGACGACCTTGTAGATCCAACAGTAGGCCGAACTTCTCACCTGGAAGGAGAGGAACGAACTCGTAGAAGAGTTCCATGCATTTGTGGCGACAGTCTGTCTGAGGACGTCCACATTGTTCCAAAAGCCACAGAACCACATCGGACAGGAGGAGTTTTTCATCAGGAGGAAAACCCCTTCAAAAGACAAAGACCAAATGTTATCAAAGACGTTGTACTTTAGGACATTTTCTGTATAGCAGAGAGACATCAGAGAGGACCAACCTCGGGATGCGTCTCTTGGCATTGCGCTGATTGAGGCTGGGGGCCTTGTGTTTGATGATTCTCTTCAGATGGTCAATGGCAGTTTTGCACTGCTGCAGTGTCCCTGGGGAGGACAGAGCGGGATGAATCTATTTATATATTTACTGGTAACTACACTATAAATACAAAGATATGGAGCATTTAATTCAAGTCATTAAAAGAAACGTATAATCAGTGAAGTTGATAAGCGTTTACCCATTGAGCGCTCATCTGAGTGTGCGAGAGCCAGGCTTTCCACAAAAATTACAAGAACTTCGAAAACAAACTGCTCCACCAAAGAATTTTCCTCCCTGTGGAAAAACAAAAGAACATTTATTGCAAAAGCTATAAAATAAAATTTCTCGAAAAATGGGGGGCCTCAACCTCCGGTTTAGGGACCAGTACTGGTCTGTAGGTCGTTTGGTACCAGGTCGAAGTGGGACACAGATAAGACTGTTTAGTGATTCTGTCAAGTCCCACCTGAAGTGTCTGTAGATGCTGTTGAAGGCTAAAGCCGAACCCAGTCTTTTGTAACCATTTGGGTGCAGAGCCAGACTGTAGATTCGTTTGAACAGGGACTTCATATTCGTCGGGCTCTTCTCCTGCTGCTTTGGGGTGGTCTGCTTGATCGACCACTTGACGAACTCTTCGATGCAACGTCCGCAGAAGTCCCTCAGGGTGCTGTCCATGGGGTCAACCACACCATCCTTCAAAAAAAAAGAAAAAAAAAAAAGAAAAGGAATAGCTTCTTTAGGCAAGTGATTCCAGGTACAGTTTGAAACTTTTTGGTTTGGTTCAAACGACCAGTGATCTAAAGTGATCTACCTTCAGTATACTGTACATTAACCATACATCAACCCATATAAACTGGACATATATATACTTTATATATACATTATATGTTGGGGGTGCTCAGCATGTAGCTTTATGGTGACTCATGAATCAACTCTTACAGAATATGGTAAGTAAGTAAGTAAAAAGTACTACTACAGAATTACTTTTATATATATACTGTATATATATATATACATATATACACATATATACATATATACATACATATACACATATATACATATATACATATACATATATACATACATATACATATATATATACATATAAACATACATATACACATATATACATATACATATATATATACATATATATACACATATATATACACATATATACATACATATATATAAAAAATAGATAACAGATAATACAAATACAAATACAAATAGATAATACATATTAGATAATAATAGATAATACAAATACAAATAGATAATACATATATATACCACCATGATCTACCAGCACTCGCGTTGCGAAGAGTGAAGGGTTCATTCTAGACGCAAACAAAAAAATGACATTGCGTAACTTTCAGTGTTACTGTAACAAGTACTGTTTGAAGCCTGACTTACCAATATGGCCTCCAGAACAGCTACCGTGTCCTGGCTTTCGAACTTCTTGTTGTTGGTGAACCAGTGAATCAGCTGCATGACCAGTGGCTCAAAAAGCTGCCTGGTTACCTGCACGAGAGTCAACGTTAATGCTGCTTGGACAGTTGATGACTGAGCTCCTTGACAATATCAGCAGATGAAATGGTATTTTAACATCAGGGACATTACTTTAGGATCTTTTGTAACGGTGTTGAGCGATGGAAGGGCGAATTTGTAATAAAACACAGGAGTGACGTCATTCCAAAAGTCACATGTCTGTCTGTCTGAACTGTGAAAAAGAACGCACACCTGATCGACATCACAGGCAAGACGCAGCAGCACCGGGAACAGCCTCTTGTGTAGCTTGTACATGGGTGGAAGTGCACTCTTCCCTTCCACCATCTGGGCACTTTTCCCGACCATGTAGACCACCAGGCTGTGGAGCAGCTCACATGCTGCCACCTGCAGGAAAGTCAAACAAATGGCATGTTTCTTCAACTTCAAAAACGGACGTTTTAGATTTAAAAATGTGGTTTTCCCCAAATACTGCAGGCAGCGACGACATACTTTGGTTTGTCTGTCACTGGTGGACAGCGCCAGTTCACTGATGCGGGGCAGAAATGGGTCAAGGTAGATGACTGGCTTCATGTCAGTGAAGGGAACTGCAAAACTCAGCCTCCGCTCAGTGTCCCAGGCCACAAATTTCTTCATCATCTCCTCTGACGAAACCACTGGAGACCAAAGAAAAACCAAAACACTTCACATGTTGTAGGTTTAAACACAAAACGAAAAAAAAAAAAAGGTCTAAAAATCCTCACCGGTCACTAGGTTCCTGTTCAGTTTTCCCCCCAAGCGTCCAAGTAGTTTTACTACGCGGAGTCTCACCGCTACAAGAGGAGCATCTTCCTGCCGTTACATACAGGGAACAGCTAAGCAAATCAATGTTTTCACAGACCTGTAATACTCTGTTCAAAGTATAAGTATCATGCAGAGATTAATAATATTTTATAAGGTCCCACTGCATCATTACCACACTGTAATGGTCTGGTTAAGAAGGATAATGCACGTACCACTCGTGGTACTTTGGCGCCATCTAGTGGTACACACATTAAATGACAACATGTACCACTAGAACAGGGATGGCTCGATACAACATTTTCATGTCCGATATCGATACTGCAACTTGGAATATCTGCCGATACCGATATGAATCTGATACCTTTTTTTTCTCCATCCCTAATCTTTGACTGTGGCAGCACATTTAGAGTATTTATCGCACGTCCATTACCGCAGAGAACTGGTTGGATTTCTTCAGAAGCCTTGTCATCACTTTTCTGTAACCCCGACTTGAAGACAGAGAAGACATCACCTCCCAGCTGTTGTCGTCTTTGTCTGAATTCAACAATATTCACAAACCAGTCAGCTCACACCTTTTTTTTTTTTTATTTTGAATAGACAAAAGCGCCTCTCAGTGGCGGGACAATGGATGAACTTACTGCTGCCAGAAGTGTTTTTCAGGTACCCATCCAGAAGAGGCAGGATGTTGGTGTAGCAGGGCTGCAGAGTCTCCAGAGGAATGTGGAAGGACCAGTCTTCAAGGGCGTCCAAGGCCGTGTTGGCCAGAGGAGCATGACTCAGGCCCAGCTTTAAAGCTGCCTAAAAAACAACAACACGTCTATTTTTACTTTCGGCTTAAGGTCGTAACAAACAAGCATTGAAATAAAGAGAAGAACAAAAAAAAAAAAATAACCTCCAGGGCAGGACAATAGGCCTTGACATCCAGAGCTACAATGTTGTGATGCAGCGAGAGGACAAAGGTCAAGCAGGACGACAGCAGCTCGTCTTTGTACTGCTTCAGTCTCACACACACCTGGTGGCGCAAAACACACATTTTGCTAACTTCTTTTGTGCTCCGTGAGTCGTATCAGATATATATATATATATATTACCTGTAAAATGTAAAAAACACTAAAATGATTCTACCTCTTTTCCAAACTTCGAGAAAAGGGCAAAACAAGTAAGTTTCACCGAGTCGGCCTCTGGAGACGCAGCGTTTCTGACGCCGACACCCTGCATGATAATATTGGATTTAATATTTTAATACTGGATCTATAAGACTACGTACGATGAAATATTTGTAATTTTCGTTTTAAAACGCAACCAAAACAACAATATCGTTATTGTGGCCAGAACATCGTGACGGTATTGTATCGCAGACGACCATGTTACCTGGAAGTACTTGATTCTCTTGGCTATTTTCATTGTGAGAGCCAGCAGCTTGTAGAAGCCACTGACAAGTGGATTGTGTATGGAGTGGAGAATGAGTTCATGGCTTAAGGGATACATCCAGGACTGGAAATACTCCACGTGTTTGGTCCGCAGCAACTTACTGCCGAGGAAGGAAACCAAACAAAAAGGTCAAACAGTCAAATCACGTGAGACACAAAGCTGAAGAAAAATGTGTTTTTTGTGTCCACATCACCTGCAGAACTCCACCAAGTTGATGAAGGCTGTAAAGTCTTTGACCTTATTAGGAACCAAATGAGCTGTAGGGTCAGAAGAAGGCAGGATGTGCGCTGCGGCATCTGGAGCCTGGGAAACAACGAAATAATCACACTGAGGATTATGGGTTCAAAAGGATTTCTAAGGTTTAAACGAAGGGACGACTCTCCCTTTTTCGGTGTGACACAAAGTGACGTCAACAAACGGGCCTCACCTCCTCGTCTGTGTTCAGCTTCTGCACGGACAAGTCAAGTTTCTCCACGATTCTGAGAATGGATTTGACCAGCTCGTCGTATAAGAGGCGGCTCAGCGAGACAAGAGCAGAGTTCTGACTTTGAAAATCTCCATCCAGGAAACCGGAATCCTGCGGAGGAAGACGACAAAACAAACAAAAGTTGTTGTTTTTTTTGTTTTTTTTTTCTAGAGGAAGACGACAAAACAAATAAAAGTTGTTGTTTTTTTTGTTGTTTTTTTTTCTTGTCGGTAAAATAGTTCAACAACGAGAAAGGTGTCGTACCTTTAACTGATCGCAGTCCAAAAGTCCTCTAAACAGATCCAGGTAGTTTTCACTCAACGGTACTTTCCACTTTCCCACCTGAACTTGGGTTGACTGAGCGGAACTATTTTCTCCATCTTTGTTCTGTAAATAAAAAAAAAACAACAACTGAAAGCATTTGTTAAAGACTGAAATGAAAGAAAACTGCAAATGACTTTTTTTTTTTTTTTTTAAGGATACAACTTTATGATGTTAATCATCTGACCTGCACCTCGGCGAGCATGATGGGTTTTGAACAGACGCGGATCAAACCCTGGTGCACTGGAATCATACATATATTCATGATATATATTAGAACATGATATATTATATGATATATGTTAGTTTATGATATACATTAGAACACTGACGCACTGCATGTCCACGCTTTTACATCTCAAGTAAACATTTGCTGAGGGCAGTGTCGCACTTATACTCAGGTGTGACATATATATTAAAATATATAATTTCACATGTTTGTTATTTTCACAATTGACAGCCACCAGAGGGCACTCTAGGCTTATGTACCAGTTTCTGCTACTCCTGTACCACTGAAAATTTAGATGTTTATGTTTATGATGATTTTCACACTGACAGCAGCTAGAGGGCACCGGTGCGACTTATAGTCTGGAAAATACAGTAATTGGAGACGCTTGTAATGAACTTACCCACTGAGCCAATGAAACTCCACAACACAGGACCCTTAGAGGCCATGGCCACAAAAACCTTCAGGATAGACCTGCAGCAGGCCGTCTGCATTTTGTCGCTGTACTGAGGGAAGCTGTCGATCTGCACCACGAGGAGACGCTCCAGGAGCGGAGTGTACACCTCTGGGATCTGTAGCCACAAACACAAGGACGGATTTGAAGGGAGACAGTAGGTCATACTGAACCTTAACGCACGTTGCACGAACGTTGTACCCGATACCTTGTCCAGGTGGATCAGGACACTGGCTATGGAGTCTAAGAAGCTGGGCAGCTGGTAGTAGCTGTCGTCCTCGTCATCAGACTCCGTCAGGTACATCTGCTTACAACGCTGAATCAGCTCCGTGTACATCAGGTCCACATCCTGGGGGCAAACCTTCTTGCACGGCTGCGAAGACAAAATACTTTTTCTTTTTTCTCATATAATTATTACTCTCCCTCTCTCTATATATATAAATAAATATATATAAATATATAAATAAATATATATATAAATATATGTATAAATTTATATATATATTTATATAGATACATATCTGTGTGTAAATATACAGTATATCCACAGACATATATATATTATATATTATTAAATATATTATTATACGTCATTAAACATCAGGAAACGTACAGCGGCGAAGAAGCCGTATCCTCGTATGGCGATGGAGAGCTCCTTGTGCGTGGAGTCCATTGTTTTGATGATGCCGCAGAACTTCTGCATGAAGAACTTCAGCTTACTCTTATGCTCCTCCGTGTTTTCAGCCACCAGCAAGGCTACCTGGAAAGAAAAGACCAGTTTGTAGACATACAGGATGAAGGTTGTTATTGTTATGTTCACGCGTGCCCCCTGTTCTGATGAAGACATGGGGAAAGTGTCGACCTGTTTGAGGAAGGCCTCGAGTGCGAAGTAGCTCGTCTTCTTCATCTCGCCGTTGATGTGTCCGCAAAGCTTGGACATGACCTCAAACAAAACCTTGTAGTTGTCAATCAGGCAGCTGCTGAACTGAGACGCATGTTTGGCCAACAGCCTGAGCCCAGCTGTTTGAAACACAGGCACATGAATATTAATGCGGACGCTGACAGTAACCCGGCGATGCTGGGGCGACAGGACTCACCAAAGGTGACAGCGTAGCGACTCATTGCCATCTTGAAAGAAATTAAAGGACAAAAAAAAAAAAAAAAAAAAAAGTTTAGTGCGATAATCACAAAAAAGTTGAACATGACATCCAAACAGTAAATCAGAGTATTTTTCCCCCACTGTGGTACAAATAGAAAATAGATTAAAGGACAGGAAAGAAGGACATTTACCTGAGGATTGACCGCCTTCAGAGCAAACTGAAATATTTCTTTACACGTCGCCGGATCTGCAACATCAGAAAGGGTCAACACAAACGAATCCTCTTGCCGTATCGAGATAACTAAGGCATAAGTGAGAGGATAAGGAAAACGAACAAACACCTTCCTCCATGGTTTTGGTGAAGTTGACCATCACAGCAGTGATTCCTATCAAACATCCTGCGACCACGAAAAGTTTTGGTTCTTTGGTTGATGATGTCATCTGGAAAATCGGGACATGGCACATTAGAATGTGTCAAAGAGAATATTACACCGGCCAGTAATGTTTGTCACATACCTAACGGTCATGTTGCTTTATTCTATGCAAATTTAGGGTCAAATTATTGTATTTCATTTCACTGGAAAACGCTCTATAATTCACTAGTATAAATGTAGAATAGACACTTGATACATAAATGGATACTTATTCCATCAACAAACCTGTTCTTTAAGTTCTCCCAAATACGCTCTGTACAGCTTGTCAGAGTTGTTGACCATTTCGCTTGGATGAACCTCTGCCAGGACTCCCAGCAACTCGTAGATTTTGCCGAGTACTTTTCCAAGAAACAAATGTGCCGTTACAAGGACAGTTGCTTTTCCAGTAGAACTTTCAATACTTTTATTTAACTCTCACCTGAATCTGGGAGTTTGTTTCTTTGAAAAAGTTCACCGTAGAATTTGTCGAACATCTCACTAATTTTGAAATATGCAGCGACACTTGAGGCCTTGGTGATTTGGAGAACCTACAAAGAGAATTTGGCAAGAATAACAGTCCACCAAGTTGGAATACATGTGTGTTTTTAAAGGTCAAATTTTTGTAAGCTTAAATGAAACCAGATTGGTTTCTGATACTATTTATCTCTTACTTGGATTCAGATTTTGGAGCCTTTTTTTTTTCTTTCTTTCTTTGGTTATTTGCATGGACGTCAAGATGAAAAGACAGACAGGAAAATCAACATAGGATAACAAACAGAGACACACCTTAATGAGAAGCTCCATCACTGTGGTCCTACACTTGGCACCTTTATCTTTCACGTACACCACCATGCACGTGTCCTACATTAAAACAAAGAATATAACTGAATTAGCCTTTGTTTACTGCGGGCGTCACAAACTGCTGGTCCGGGGGCCACTTGTAGCCCAAAATAAACCCATATCTGGCCTATGATAATAATCTAATTTACCCTTCAGGCAATTAAAAAAACGACAAAGTAAAATGCTAGTTGAAAACTTAAGAATAGGGGGAAAATGTACTAGCTGTTTACACTTTTAATTGGTGTTTAATTAGTGTTTTATAGTGTATTTCAAAAGGTATATTATCCAAAAATATTTGTTCTAAATTACTGATGCGGCCCTTCAGTGACAGTGATGATAGTGGCCCTCAGCTCATGTGAGTTTAAAACCCCTGGTTTACAGTATCGTTGTGGAAGACAAGCTGATTTAAGAAGCATTATCTTTTTTTTTCTTTCTTTTTTTTTTTGCAAACTTACTTTTAGATCCATGGCATAGGTATTCTCCCAACCTTTAACTTTGTAAGAAACTTTGTCCAAGAACGTCCCCAAAAAACACAGGGACTTCACCCGAGTCTCTTTGAGCTGTAAAATTAGATCATAATGCAATTAGTTTGATTTTATTGTTAACCCAAGATTGGTCTGTGTGATGTCTGATGTCACAGCAACCTCATCTGATGGAAGGGACTTCCTGAGAAAGCTGAGCAAACCATAGTCCTTAGAGAACAATGAGGACATCTGCAAAACTGCAAGAACAAAAAAAAAAGTTGTTTTTTAAATTTTGATACAGTTCAGTTCCCCACATATGAGGATGTGAAGCAGGTGCAGCAATAACTATATGTTTCACATTGTACACATAGTTTTTAGATACACTGCCAATATTTTATTTGCATACAATTAATTTTTGTACTCCGAAAAGGGTAAAAAAAAAAAAGATCTTAGCTGTTTCTTTAGGCACAGACTAGGGTTTTGCATTAGTAAAGCTAACCTCTTAGTCTATAACTAGCTAACTGGAGGTGAAAACTTTGTAACCAAAAAAATTTCACCCTGGCTGTGTAGACTGTGAATAACCAAAACATTTCACCCTGGCTGTGTAGACTGTGAAAGTGATGCCGCAGATTGTAACGTAATTGGCTGGGTTTTGCATTGTTACAAAGTGTCAAAATGTCGTTGGGAAGGTTATTTCTCTGATCAGACCGTACAGGTGCAGTAACCGCACTACTGTACTTCTGTAACTGTTAGCACGCCGCTTGACTTCAGATGCAGCGAGCTGTGATTTGATCATCACACCCACGTGGATGTTAGTTACCGCCCACCATACGGTTTTGGCGGAAGCTATAACTGTGCAACAAAGACAATCCTTGCAAGATGATCGGGACATAGTTTAACATCACTTTTCGTTCATATGTGCAAATCACCCCTCGTCCTTACCCAGGTCATTCTCGGCGGTTGCCAGCATGCACTCCTGCCCCAGATCCCAGACTATGTCCTGACATGTCAGAGCCGCTGATCTGCAGTCCCTATCTGTCAATGCTTCATGAAGTTTAAGGAGGAGACCGTGAATCCCTCCTGCAGTTCCGCTAAGAGACGACATTATCAGGCCGACTTCAGCTCAGCGTCACAATTGACATAAAAACAGTCAAAAAAGAGATGACCCGTGCTTCATGCAGCCATTCAACTCTTACCAGGAACTACAGAACAATGATAAGTAGGAAAAACAACGGAAGACAAAATTAAATTTCAAAATAAAAGCGTCATTTCCCTCTGCTTTTTTTTTACACGACAGCGTTCAGGGATATGAACTTTAAAGTATCAGCGCTAATTTCTACATTAACTGAAGATATACGATATATTAAATTCTATTTGACTTTATTGAAACAATATTTTAATTAACCTCTGGTGCAATGACTTTAGTTTGCCAATAGAATGTGTACAGAACAGAGGACCGCGAAGGTACAGTTGGGCTGTCATTTCATTTTTAGTTAATTGGAATGCTAATTATTCAATGCTAATATAACACTTCGGGCAAATTTTACCAAACAAACCACCGCTTACATTCAATTTAACTATCACGCTTTAAATTTAAAATAATTTGGTTAAAAATAAGCATGCGTAAACTTAAGAAGTTTTGGGGGGCGTTTTGTTGTAAGCGTTTGTTAGCATTAGCATTGATATCAGTAGGACATGTTTAAAACATAAATGTAAAAATATGAGCCTGTGTATAATTTCAAGCACCGAATGCAAAAACAAACGTTCATAGGACCATTTTTTATTACAAAACACATTTAAATTTGCCGTCTTTACAACCAGTAATTACGGCGTAAAAACACAAGTAGACCGCACAGACAGTACCAATACATTATAATTGCGCTTATATAGTAGACGTGCAGTAACTTAAAGTAACCACTAGGTGGCAGCCAATTCCCATAACAACATACCAATATTTCCTACATCTTACCCATTGCACCTTAATAAGATTAATTTTGATTTTTAAAATAACGCTTTATTTACAGGAGATGTAAAAACTGTTAAGCATGAAACAATTAACAAATTAATTTAGGGGCTGTGCAAAATATAGTTTGCTGCCAGACACCAGGAACAGAAGATTTGATTTGTTAACACAACAGTGTGTCTACAGCTGGTGTAAAAAACTGTAAAACACGCAGCAAATTAGTGTAGAAACTGAACAGCGATGACTCATAAGCATAACGAGGCTCTCTCAATGTATTTTATTTTCATAAATAGTGCATATTTTATTTTATTTTAATTTGTCGTCTACTCTTACCCGCGACATTTATTTTGAAAGCAACGACAGGATGTTGGTCGTCTTATTTTGAAACGCTTGGAGTTTTAACATTCCAGACACCTGTTGTAAGTTGGAGACGCCACAGAGGGATTCGTTCAGAGTTCCACTGGACAGCGCTAGGATAGAGCGGAATTGGGAGAGTGAGTCAGTGAGTGAGTGAGTGTGCGTGGGCGCAGACATCAGCTGTGGAGGAGAGCACATACCGATCCGTGATCGTGGATTCATTCTTCTCCAACTTTTCCCGTGGTTGGATTTTCTTTCGAATGTTTCAGCTGGGATGTTTGAAAAAGTAGCGACAGATTTGGGTAGGTCTACCCCGATGAGTCTACACTGAGTTTGGGAGACATTTTCTACATGCAAACCGCATCTTGGTAAAGAATGTAGCCCTTCTTTAACCGGACATCCACAGAGACCGATCTCCAGCCGAAATTCGCTCACGTTAAGGATTGCTTCGTCTCGCTGCTTTGTCCGATCATAGGTATGTTGTATTACTTCTGTATAAATCCGCACATGTGTATTTTCTGGACACCGATCAGTCAGTCAGTAGTCACTTTAAGGGCGTTTAATAGCCAGTATATACAATATTTATTCACAGCTATATGCAATTGAAAAATATAGAAGTGCTAAGATCTGAGAAAATATTTTAAATCTACATTCCTTTTCACATAACCTAATAATGAGCCTGAAAAATACCAACACCACAGACTAAAGTGGGAGCTATTAAGAAAAGTATGCCCTTGTCTTGTAAATATATACATTTTTTTTTACATAACAAACATATAATGTTTAATATTGATTTACACTTTCAAAAAGATCTTCCCGGTATGTTTGACATCCCTGATCTCATTTTTTTTTTTTTACACATCTGAAATCTACCTTTATCTAAATCTAATGTGTAATGTTTGTGTTATATAGCAGTGGTTCTCAAACTGTAGTATGCGTACCACCAGTGGTACGTGAGCGCTCTCTAGTGGTACGCGGGGAAAATTCATATTTTCATTTATTTTCTTTTTTTTTATTTATATTTACATTTTCAATTGAATAAATCTGAAACATACCATGCACAATTAATACAACATTTAAACATAAACACCTTTATAAACATTTATTAACATAGAGAAGGCCTATGCTGCTATATTCTAATGTTGGTCATCATAGTGGTATTCAGAGAGCTCCATGTTTTCACAGAGTATAAAAAGTTTGAGATCACTGTTCTATAGCATTAGGTCGTATTTATGTCACTTTTAGCATTTTCCTTTTTTTTTTCCATTATTTTTTTCCATTAAAATCATGTTGCAGGTTCAAGTCTAAAACCAAATCCTCACCAGTTCCCAGGCCTGACGGCCGAAAGACCATTAAGAGATGCTGGCTGCCATGCTGCGCCAGAGCTCTGGTGGAGGATCATGCAGCAGTGCTGGGAGCAGCGGAGTAGGAACCAAAATCTCCTCGGGTATCTCCCGCCTCTCTGTCTCCAGCGCCGGGTCATCGGGCCCCGCTCGGATTTCCAAGAGCGGCTCGGAGAGCGCGGACGGCCCGGATACCCCCACGTCGGACCCTCACTACATTCTGCAGCTCGTCAGCGACGTGCGCAAATTTGCTGATGTGCTTCTGCAACTCAAGGAAGTTTTCGGCTCCAAAGGTAATTTTATGGCGAGTGTGAACCCTGTTGCGTTTGTAACTTTCTTAAGAAAAAATGTTTGTATTGTATTTTTTTTTAATTGCAGTAATCAGTGAGTTGCTGAGTTCAGCCGCCGTCCCTGCTTTTCACCAGTGTTTGTGGAGAGAGCCTGTTAATGATTTGTTGCCACAACAGCTGACTGCTGTGTGTGTGGATTTTTCAATAAGTTACACATGTGAGCGCTTTCAGGTATTACCAGTTTAATTTAGTTCTTCTAATATGTGCAATAGCGTGGCCACGGGTTTGGCGTTCAGTCTCTGAACTCTCGTTTTTTTTTAACGTGTGAAAGTCTGAAAATGAACAGTAGGTTTTTTTCAACGTTGGTGTTTGTTTTATCCAGTGCGCTGTTGTCAATTTCACCACAGTGTACACAGACCGGGGCATATCTCTCTGTTTTGCCCCACTGTGGCCTTGGCAGCACGGTCAGTCAACCAGACTTATCTTACAATCTCTAACTGGATGTTTGGACGTCTTTCTTTTTTTCATGTGAAAAAAAAAAAAACAGTCTGCGTTTGAAAGGCTTCTTTATTTTGTGTTAATCTATGATTGATCGGGGAAAAAACGAAATCTTTAGTCAAATCAAAGACTCGGCAAACCACAAACTAATAGACTTCTGTTTGTCAGTGACAAAATGAAACAGTTTCCGGCTCAGTTGAAGTACGAAGACTCCTCGGAGCGATATTTAAAGTTTGAGGCTGTTCCACATAACTTTTGGCTTTTGGAGCACTGGTAGAAAAGCTCCAAATCAGGTGTCAACAACTATATTTGTCGGAAGGCCAGACATTTTCTGCACAGATTTTGGAGCTGGAAATAAAATTCACATTTTTGTGCAGCATTATTATTTGACGTTTATTTTGGAATCCAGTCATGGGCCTGATTGGACGGTTTCGCGGGCCATATTTAGCCTGTGGGCCACCAGTTGATAATGAATGTGTTAATTATTTAGGTTTAAGGTGCATGTGGTAGGTCATGTGATTTTTTTTTTTTGTTTTTTTGGCTCTGTTTTCTCCCACGAGGACTCTGACATAATCTCCCATCCTTGTGGCAGGAATCTGCCGCTTTTATCTCTCCTTTCTTTTTCTGGAGAGGTCAGCCAAGGTGCTTGACCCGGCTGGACAGGCTGGCAGTGTTGAGAGCAGGGCTTGCTGTGACCTGTCAACATGCCAGGGCACAGATCAAAGTAGAAAACCATCACGGGCCGGGGATGAATGTCTGCATCCTTTTTTGGTAGCACGCTGCAATTTCATCGTCTGACTTTCCGACAGGGGTCAACCAACCTGATAATTTGACGGTTTCATAGCCATTAGTGCGTGTGCAGGTTTTTTTTTTTGCGATGTTGTGGGGTTACAAAGTTGTCATACTAGACATTCTGCTCTTGTTCCTCATCATCTGGAAACCAGTTTACGATGTGTTTGCCTAACAAAGCCACGGTGCACAAGACTGTATGTACAAATAATATCAGGGAGGGGTGATGACTCACCGACGATAATTATTGCCCTAAAATGATTTCCTGGACCAAAAAAAAAAAAAAAAAAACACAAACAAAACAATGCATCGAATCTGCTCACTTTCTGTCCAAAAGAAAAGTGAAATCCAAAAATGAACGCAACTTTTTGTAGTTCATGGTGCACTAATTTTAAATAATTTTTCAAATTATTTGATCATAATTTTAACCATGAATATATTTTTTTTTTTTTTCTAAATAATTTTTCAAATTATTTTAACCATGAATATATATATATTTTTTTTCCTATGATAACTCATCATAATCTTACTATTTCTTTGTTGACAGTAAAAAAAAAAAAAAAAAGAAACAAACAAATTTTTTAAAATATCCTTAAAATCGTACATGGATGATAACGTTGAGGTAATACTAGTGCGCGGGCGTGTCTTTATTTCCTGAAATCATATGTGATGGTTTTTGATGCCAGCTGGTTTTTCTAAATCCTATTATTTTATTAGACGCTTCAGTGGCTGCACATAATTAGCAACTTCAGCCACTTGGCACAGGCTCAGGTATTTAATTACTGCCACTTCAATGGTTACGTACGAACACAAGGTCTGCCTTGTGTTCGTACGTAATCACTGAAGTGAATTCCCCCCGTGAAATTTTTATTTTATTTTTTATAAATTCTGGAAATGGCAAATCTGGTAATTATTCTTTGTTTGTTTCCTAACAGTTGCTTTTTTGCGTCGTATACTGACTTGTGTGAAGTTTAAACCAGGTGCAGTTCTCGACCCCCGTTCCCCCCGTTTAAAATGACCTGTCAACCGCGAGGACGTGACACCGATCGTCTTCGTATCCCGACGTGTTACCGCTAAATGGGCCGATCGTCACGGGAAGTCTCCGTATCCCGACGTGTTACCGCTAAATGGCAGCTTGTACAGAAATCCTACTTTCCCATGTCATGGAGTGTTGGTGCAGGATGAGTCCCTGGTGGGGAGGGGGTGCTTGGGTCCATTCCATCTATTTATAGACAAGTTGAATTTTTCTAGCAAGGCCTTAAATGGTAATTACTACAACATGGCTGTGACGCACGACCAACTTTTGATTTTTTTTTTCCCACTCAGGCCTGGGAATAAAATGCTCAATGTACCTTTATTGACACTGAAAACCCCGTCACGGCATCTCCACAGTCGGAGAGCTGTGTACATTTTTTTTTTTTTTTTTAAATCTCCAGGTAGCAACCCTTGTCCTACGTCCACTCGTGAAGGGCAGGTATGTAATTGCCAGGGATTATTGTCTGGGAGGTTGATTCCAAGCGGGGGTCACCGAGGACGTTCTGGGAGCAGATGAGCTACGGAGGAGGTCCTGTGGCTTTTGTGTTCGATGGTGAGCGGGGGGGGGAGGGGGGGGCGGGTGACTGAAGCCCTCCATCGTAAGATTAGCGTAACAAACACGCAAGGCTGCCGTCGAGGGGCGCACGGTTGCCGTGCCGTTCTTTGTCTCCGCCCGAGAGCGAGGCGAGTATGACCGCAGCTGAGTGTGTGATTAGGACAGGTGTGTCATCGTTGTTGTTGTTGTCATGCTCCGGCTTTGCCGAGCAGAATGATTGCAAGGTTGGTGCGTCAGCTGCTCAGGACTTAAGAAGTGACTCAGTCAAGCTAAACACGGCGGTGGGTTACTCAAAAGCTTGTCTGAGTGTCGCTGCCCTGCATGTCAGTAGTTTTATAAACATGGCGCAATTACACCGGTGTACACATCACCTGTCGGTATTTTTTTTTTTTTTTTTTTGAGTTCTGTTTCCTTGTCTGCAGAGGTGTATATACTTTTGTGTTCCTGTAGCGAATCCTTGCTAATTTTGCTCTCCTTTGAGGTTTTTGTTTACTATTTCAGGGCCAGAATTTTTCTGGACAGACACCTTGCGGGCTTGACACTCTAATAAATTTTAAGTAAAAACTGTTTTTTTTTTTTTTTCCTTGAAGAATGTAAATAGGGTCATAAATAGTGGGGATCACACTATTTTTTTTTTCTCTGATCCTCATAATTTTGGAGGCAGGCCGAATAGGACTGTTTGGCGGTCCGGATTTGGCCCACGAGCCACCAGTTGATAATCACTGCTTTAAAACAAAAAAGCAAAACAACTCAAATTTTTTTATAAGGACTTTATCTGCATGAACAGAACAAGGCCCAAGCAGAGCTGATACTATCTGTTATGTTCGTGACACGTCACCATGGCAACACCTGTGTTTTTACCCAGGTAAGAGTTTCACTAATCCACGGGCTGAAGAGTGCCAATTAAACTAATCCTGAATGTGTCTGGACTGTGGGAAGGGAACTGCAGTAACAGAGAAAAAAAAACAAAAAACAAATTCCGTACAGAAAGACCTGCAGTTACCACCAGGAAAGAAACCACTTTTCCACGGTGTAGTCCGGTCTTTATTTAGCCATACAATAACAATAAATTACTAGAAATACAAAATGTTCCAGGAATGAAAAGCCGAGTTGTGTCAGCGTTCCATCATCTTTTGTCACAGCGTGGATTTGTCACTGTTAATGTGTGACTTAAGACTATTGCTTTGAGTCATCACGGGTGTTAGCAGTTCATCAGTATGAATATTTTTTTCTCTCTCTTTCTGGTTTGCGCTCTCCATCTTTCTGTCTTTCTGGCCCTTTGTGTCTTCTTGGATGTAATAATTAACAGGTTTCGCTTTTAAATTCCCTGAAAGTGTTGTGTAACAGTGCATAAGTGCATAATAACATGCTCTAGTGCAGGGGTGTCAAATTCATTTTCAACGGGGGCCACATCAGCAATACAGTTCCACTTAAAGGGCCGGTTGTAAATGGAAGACCATATAGATCATGGGATCCCCAACCCCTGGTCCGCGGACCAGTACTGGTCCAAAGGTCATTTGGTACCGGGCCGCAGTGGGAAAGAAATACTTAATTTTTACTAATTTACTTCAGTCAAAGAAAATCCAGACATCCATTTACTAGTTCTAAGCTACTGCGGGCCACACAAAACAGCTTGGCGGGCCGCATTTGGCCCCCGGGCCTTGAGTTTGACACGTATGCTCTAGAGCATTAAGTAATTCAGTTTTGTGGCAAACCAAAATGTTGCTTTTTTTGGGGGGCGGTGTAGCCTAATTCCCCAACAAAACAACATTCAGTTTTGTGGCAAACCAAAATCTTGCTTTTTTTGGGGGCGGGGGGTGTAGCCTAATTCCCCAACAAAACAACGTTTAATTTGTTTGTGCGAGGATTCTCCTAACATTCGTAGATTGAAAAAAAAAAATAGCTTCTATTACAAGATGGTCTCCGATTGCAGACGATCTGTGGGAAAGTGATGTTTTGGTGGTTCTTCAGAGGAGGTCTAAATGCTATTTTGGTGACTTGCGTTCTAAGTCATCCCGCGCGATAATACAGCCCAGAATTAGCCCTATTTGGGCTTTTCACCAACCATCCCCGACCTTCTTAATAGCTGTAACTGCGCTCTGTTTAGACAGCCTGTCCCACTGGG